CTCCTCCCAGCTTTTTTTGTTGGGGTTTGTTGTTTTATTAGGGGCAAACAGGATAAGTAAGCAAAAATGTGGGTGCCAGCGAGAGATCCTTCCCTTTGCTGCGGATTTCTCCGGCCCCTGCTTTGCAACTCATCTCGGGGAAGGCAGAACACCTCGTTCCCAACTTGCAAAGAGCTCCGGCGACACACCGCCCCGCGAACAGACTTTCTCATGATTTTTTAGCATCGCTTGTCAGCGCTCGCTATTTGCAGCTCATAACCCCCTTTCCCCCAAGACCATGGATTTCTCGCTGGGGATGTGAAAAATGAAGGTGGCTGGAGGGTGGTTGATGGGTGAGCTGGGGCCTTGGCGGCGTGGATGGGGCTGGAGAGGTGTCCTGGCCACGGAAAGGACATTGCTGTCCCTGTCCCAGGGGCACAAAAAAACCTGGTGGTGATTAAAAAAAAATCCAACGCCTGTAAATGCATTTTTCAGGACCTAAAAAGTGCCTCCGGCTATGTTGTGAGATGTACTGCCCCGGCAGGTATTCCTTCCCCGGCCCTCCCTTCCCTCCCTCCGCCCTCCTCCCCTGGCCCCCCCAGGGCTGGGTTTTTTTACGTAAGAACAATGTCCCCCATGATGTCCCCACTGTCACCTGGCGTTCAGAATTGGATTTTGGGAAAAGCCACACGTTTTATCGCCTCTCGGTGCTGTAGGAGCCGGTTCTCGGGCTGCTGGTGTTGAGCATCTCGCAAGCGAAGATGTTTTGAAGCACCCACCCCATCTCTAAGGCGCCCCGTTGTGCCCATCACCCTGGCTTCTAGGCCTGGTGGTACCATGGGAACTGCTGACAGGATCCCAAGGCCGGGCAGGACGTGGTTAGACCCAAAGTGCTAAGATTAATGAGCTCCATGCGCCTCCTACCCTTAAAACCACCCAAAATTCATGATTCCACCATCGGGGACCTCATCGGGGTGTCCTGAGGCGGCTGGATGTCACCACCTGAGCCCCACGCCGTCCCTGCAGCCACCACCGGCCTTTTTGGGACCTGCTTATTTTTTTCCCCTCAAAGCTGTGTTGCGGTTAAATTTTGGCTGGCCACCTTGTCCCATGGGTGCTTTCCAGGCACGGGCTGGTGTGACGGAGCAGGGCTCCTCCATGCCTCCCTGGAGCCAGGTGGGCACCCACAGACCCAGCTGAATTTCTCCAAATCTGAATATTTTGCGCCCTCTCCTGGGTCCAGATGGTGTGGCCCGCCATCTCCCACCCTGTCACCCTTCCTTTTGTCTGGAAAGAGTTGGGGACACCAGACTGGGATTGTCCCACCCGCCATCACTCTCGCAGCCCCCCGGCATTTTGCCCTTCCATTGGGGGACCCTAAAAATACATCGGAGGAGATTTCGGCACGGATGAGCTCTGGCCAAGGGAAACCCCGGGGCTGGTTCTGCCTCCTCCATCGCTTTCTGTGCTCCAACCCAAAGCCGTTGGCACCATCCATGGTCCTCCCCACCAGGACGTGGCCACCGCTCCTGCAAAACCAGGCGGCTTGAGCTAACGCCGTCACAGGATCCCTCTCCATTCCAGCCCACCGCGATGCTGAGATCTTTGAGCATCATCCAAGAGCTGACGACCACCCTGGGCACCCTCCTCCTCCTCGCGACAGCAAGGAGCCACCTTGCGACCACCAGCCCTGGATGCTGGCGAGGTCCTTGGGTGGCCGGGTAGCCGAGGAAGATGCTGGGCGCTTGCAGGGAGCAAGTCGGGATGAAGTCGCACGCTTGGCCGGGTGCAGGAGGGACGCTCCGCTCTCCGGAGATTTGAAGCAAATTGCTTAAATCAACTTAGACGTGATTATTATGCACAGACAACCTGTGAGAAATGCATGGAAACAGTTATCCCTATACATATGTATATACACTGAATAGATACGTATAGTGTATTCAGGGCGGAGAATATCTGCACCGCGTAGCCTGTGCTGGGCTACAAACCTTCCCCTGCTTGGATGTATTGTATATATGTATATATGGTGGGTGTATATATGTGTACATATCCAGCTGAAAAACGGGGGGGAGGTTTATTCTATACATCCTATATATTAAAGAAGACTCGCAGAGCGATTAGTGGTAACATCCACCCCGCGCCGTGTAAGCAAATCCCTCCTTGCCGGGAGGAAGCAGCATCCCGCCGGAGGCTGCAGGGAGCAAAGCTCAAGCCCCACCCCAGCGTGGGGCTGCTGGAGAGGCCAAGCCAATGGTGGGACGTGTGGTGACAGGGCCGAGGACACCGAGTAGCTCGGCGGCATGGGTTTCCTGACTCCTGGCATCGTCTCTGGGTGTGCCGGCTCTGATTTTGGTGGATCCTGGTTAGGAGGTGACAGCAAGATGCCAAGGATGCCGGGATGGGCCAGGTTTGGGGTGCTGGGCTAAGCAGGGAGCTGGACCCAGGTGAAGCTGAAGGTGCCCAGGCAGGTGACAACATCATTGGCTTGTGTCTAAGCCAGCCCATGGTCATCACTTGGGTGGGAAACCCAGCACGGGTGCCCCAGTTGCCCTTATGTCCCTCTTCCCAGCTCCCAGTCTGGCCAGGGATGCTCTCCCACCATTTTGCAGCACCAGTGGTACCAGTGGGCCCATGTCTCTTACTGGCCTGGCCCCATTCTGGGGACTGGAGGATAAGGATGTCCCAGTACTACCCCAAAAAATGTCCGTGACACTGATCATGAGCTGGAGAAACACATGGCCCTATGTTCCCCAGACAGGTACGAGCTGAGCCAAACCCTCCCCAGACTTCACGTGGCCCCATCAGGGAAGCCTTAAATGAGAAGGGGGAGAAATCGTGCCCTAGCAGCTCGCCCTGAGCTAGGCACCATGTCCTCCACGGTCCCACTGTGTTCTCCATGGTCCCACCAGTGGTTTTTATTGCATCGGTGGCTTGGCCACCAAGGAAACATGGCGCTAAGCTGCTCAAACCGAGCAACCGAGCCAGAGAGAGGACGCCGGATCTGTGCCGTGATGGGGTTAATACTGTGCCGCTGCAGGCTGGAGACAGGATGAAAGTGCTGAAAGCTCGGGAGATGCTGTCCTCCTGTCCTCCAGCACGTCCCCAGCTGAAGCCATCTCTGTTCCGTGGAGCTTAAAGCCAAAACTGCTCCATGCCTGGTCCCAGAGACACCGAGGTGGCCCTCATCCTCACCTAGGAGCCGTACGTAACGCAATGGTCGTGCCGCCACTTGGAGCTCATCTTGTCAAGGAGGTAACGGGTGCTCTCGCGAAACTTGCGTTGGGTGAAGTAGAAGAGGATGGGGTCGAGGACGCTGTTCATGCTGGCAAAGGGACGTGTACACTTGTAGGCGATGGCAAACCCCTGCAGAGACAGGCAGGGCTGGCTGGGTGAGGAACGGGCGATCAGGTAGAGGGTCTTGGTGAGGTGGAAGGGGAAGAAGCTGATGGAGAAGACGATGACCACGATGATAATCATACGCACGGCTTTGTCCTTCCTCTTGTGCACCACCAAGCCGATCAGCTCGTCCCTCTGGCACAGGATCCGAGCCATGCTACAGTAGCAGGCAAGGATGGCCATGAAGGGCAGCAGGAAGCTGGTGACGGTGAGGGTGATGCCATAGGGGAAGTAGGCAGCGGAGCGATCCGGTGGGCTCAGGTCGTAGCAGACAGTGCGGTTCCTTTGGGTGCCGGTG